GCCAAGCCACTCCCATTTGGTCACATGGCTGGCAAGCCACTCCCACCCAGTCACATGGCTGGCAAGCCACTCCCACCTGGTCACATGGCCGGTAAGCCACTCCCACAAAGCAGTCCACATCTACAGAAGAGGTTCTAAATTTTTTTGAAACCCACCACTGAAGTGAGGGGACATTTCAAATGAACAGGGCTTGATGATGAAAGATGATGTATTTCAACAACTTAACATTAATTGGATTGCCACTTTCCAAAACAGCGTGGGAGTCGGGCTTGAATTGATTTTGTAAACATATCAGTTGGTTACATTTCAATGCTGGAACACTGTTTAACATACAAACAGTACAGCAGGAGTTAATTTTCAGTTGTTCCCTTTTCTCCTATCTGTTTGATTGCCAGGTTTATAGAGATGTATTTCCAAAAACTCACAAAATGCTTACAGCAATGGCTAATCCAACAATGAATGATTATGGGAAGTGGAGCTAAATCACTAGAAAGTACAACATAACATGCAAAATCTGAATAGGCCTAACATTCATACAATCTTCTCTTATATTACAAGCACATTCCGATTAAGAGCGTTCACAGCTACTTTTCAACTAGTTTTATTAGGGGTTTTTTCCTGATTACTGATATGCGTTTCATGAAATCAGTATGGAATATTGTTAACATTGTACAATTATTCTTTACTGATCTTATATTAATTGGGAAACTGAGCAGTTCATATGCAAGTTCAAAAAAATTCTACAGTTAGCCAAGGCTATAGAATCTAGCATCTAAAGTTTCTAGCATCTAGTATAATATCGGATAATCAAGAAATATGAGCAACATATCCCCAGTCAGGGTATTCTATATATTGTGAAAAGATGGCACTTGGGGGCGGGGGAATACACAAGCAATAGCTATGCAAAGGACAACTTCATTCTTTGGGAAAGATCAATAAAAAGTTTCTCCTTTTCTAAATTTATCTTTAGTTGCGAGAAAAAGGAAACGGGTTGTTTGCATCTTCTTTGCTGATTGTTGTTTGCAATATCAGATGCTTAAAAATGTAATCGTGTGGGAGAGAACTATCATAACCTACTGAATATGTAGCGGTAGAGGAAGAGAAATTAGAAAAAAAATATACAGAGAACCCTTTGTAATGTTCTCATGGCCTTTATTTCCATTTTGATTGTTTACATATTTTGACAGCATATACTCACAGTTTGCTGAACTCAGTTGGTTTCTGTGTTTAATCAGAACTTAAGAAGGTTATAGCACAAACCTTTCCTACAGTATTTATTTATATGAT